GAGGGGGAGAGGAGAGCGGGGGGTGGGGTGGGCAGAGCCCCACTCACTCGTTGGTCATCTGCACCACCTTCTCGATGCTGGTGTAGCCGGCCGCCAGGAAGTGCTCCGTGTACTGCTGCATCTTGATGGACTCGAGCCACTCGGACACCGTGCGGAAGGGCACCCCCTCCGAGCCGCTGGTGCTGGGCAGCCGGATGGACACCCTGCGACACCAACCACCCACCCTCGGGTCAGGGGTTGCAGCGCCCGGCCCTCCCCGGGCCCTGAGCCTGCGGCTCCCTGACCTGGGCAGTTCTCCCGGCTGCCCCGGGCCTCAGTTTCCTCACCTGGGCGACGGGAAAGCCAAGTCAGGTGGGTTCAGGGAGCCCGCCTGGCATGCCGGGAGCCTCCAGCGTTTGTGGCTTACTGCTTGCTGCCCCCTCTGCCCCCCCGACAAGACCGCCACCAATAACCACAGAATTTGCGAAACGTTAACAGAGCGTCTGAGGTTCCCAGAATCCCAGTCCCAGCCACTGAAGTAAGGAACTGATACTTAATTTCCCCGCCTCGGTTCCTCATCTACAAAAAGAGGAGCCACCTGCGGGTTGTTTGAATGCACTAACACACGCAGGGCTGGGCGCGGGGCTGGCACACTCGCCTCGGTGTTGCCGGCTTTCACCAGTGTTCCCCGAGCTGGGCCCCGTCCAGTCTAAGTAAAGCCTTGCCCGCTAGCCCCCGCTGGCCGCCACACCGAAGCAGCTCGGGGGTCAGCCTGGGGGCTGCCACAGGGGAGGGTGTGGGACTTACCGGGGGTCAAAGTCAGCCAGGGTCTTGAGGGAGTCGGGAGCCCGGATGAGCTTGTCCAGGATGCTGACGATGTCGGCGAACTTGGGGCGGCGGGCGCGCTCCTGCTGCCAGCACTGCATCATGAGCTGGTAAATGGCCGAGGGGCACTCCATGGGCGTGGGCAGTCGGAAGCCTTCGTTGATGGCTTTCATCACCTGGGGGTGGGGGGGACAGGATGGTAAGGCCAGGGTGCCTTCACAGCCCCTGAACCCACGCAGGCCCCTGGGGAGTGCCAGGGGACAGACAGGCTGGGCCTCCTTTCCTGAGCCAACACATACCCTTCAGAGCTGTGCGTACAGCAAGTGCCGAGGGGCTGTCTCCAGACTTCCGTGGAGGAAGGGGCTCTGACCCTGACCCCTCACAGGGCACCCAGGCAGCAGCCACACTGCGTGCCCTGCAGCCAGCCTCCCTCCAGTCTCTGGGCATCTCTATAAGCTGACCCCTTCTGCTGGAGCACGTTTAGCCTCCTTGTGCTCACCTGGCTACCTTACTGTGTTTTGTTCTGGGAAGCCTTCCAGGCCTGTGCACACATACCCACGTGCACACACATGCATGCACCCACAGGTACATGCACACATGAATGCACACACATGCACACATATATACATGCCCGTGCACACACGTGCACACACACACCCACACACACCCCTAACTGGTTTCCTTGTCTTTCACTGACTGTAGTCAGAGACTGGGTCTGGAACCCAGCACAAGGCCCGGCACATAGTAGGCCCTCAGCAAACATTTACCGAATGAACCCATGAATGGCCTGTACCAGGTGAAGACTGGCCTCCAAAACTCTTCTCTGCCCAGGCCTTGGGCTTCAGGAATGAGAAGAGCTTAAGCTCAGGCCCAGGGTGGGCCTGGGCAGGACAGGGGTGGGGGTGCTCACCTCGTGGTTGGACAGCTCCCAGTAGGGCCGCTCGCCATATGTCATCACCTCCCACATGACAATTCCGTAACTCCACACGTCGCTGGCCGAGGTGAACTTTCGGTAGGAAATGGCCTCCGGGGCTGTCCAGCGAATGGGGATCTTGCCGCCCTGCAGGGGACGTAGGCCTGGTCACCATTGTCCTCTCTGAGCAGCTTCAGGGCTGTTGCAGCCGGACCCGATTTTGCAGTCCGGGCCCCTCCTCTGTGTCCCCTACAGGTGTCCCTGCCTCCCGAGGTCCATGCCCCAGGTGTGCAGGTGGGAGGACCCCACAGCAGGGAAAGGGCTGCTTCGCCCTCAAGCCCGCCAGCCCCAGCGGTGATAGCCCCGCTGGCACTCACACTGGTGGTGTAGGTGGCCTCGGGGTCATCCTCCAGCACACGGGACAGGCCGAAGTCGGACACCTTGCAGACCAGGTTGCTATTGACGAGGATATTGCGGGCGGCCAGGTCACGGTGGACGTAGTTCATGTTGGCCAGGTACTTCATGCCGGCCGCGATGCCCCGCAGCATGCCCACCAGCTGCAGCACGCAGAACTCGCCGTCCTTCTCCTGCGGACACAGGCTTCAGCCGTCAGCCGCCAGCTGCCAGCCACCCCTGAACCAAGCAGGGCGCCCCCAAGCCTGCCGACCGCCATGGGTTCCAGCCCCCCCGCCCACATCCTTACCCGAAGGAACTTGTCCAAGGCCCCGTTCTCCATGTACTCAGTGATGATCATCATGGGCTTGTCTGCAGGGGCGGACACAGGCGTAAGGGGATGGCACAGGTGGGGTGGGCACAGGTGTAAGGGGATGGCACAGGTGTAAGGGGATGGCACAGATGGGGTGGGCACAGGTGTAAGGGGATGGCACAAGTGGGGTTGGGCACAGGTGTAAGGAGATGGCACAGGTGTAAGGGGGTGGCACAGATGGGGGTGGGCACAGGTGTAAGGAGATGGCACAGATGGGGTGGGCACAGGTATAAGGGGATGGCACAGATGGGGTGGGCACAGGTGTAAGGAGATGGCACAGGTGTAAGGGGATGGCACAGATGGGGGTAGGCACAGGTGTAAGAAGATAGCACATGGGGGAGTGGGCGCAGCTGTGGGTATGGGTGGCGGGCACAGCTATGGACAGAGCCCTTGTTTGGTGGCCCTAGTGGGCAGCCCTCTCCATACCCCTGCGGGTCAAGCCTCCAAGAGTCCCCCACCCCACCCCCACCCCCGGTGACAAGCCTCACATTTGGAGACGACGCCCTCCAGGCGGATGATGTTGTGGTGGCTGAACTGGCCCATGATGCTGGCCTCGCTGAGGAAGTCCACCCGCTGCTTCTCTGTGTAGCCAGCTTTCAGCGTCTTGATGGCCACAGGGACCTCCCTCTTCCCCGATGCCTTCAGGGTCCCCTTGTACACCTCCCCGAACTCCCCTGCGGGCAGGCAAGGTGGGAGGAGACGCCCAGTGAGCCGGGCCCGGGTGCTCCCACCCCACACCAGGGGCCCGGGTGCTCCCACCCCACACCAGGCCCCCCCACAGGCGCGCCAACCTCACCTGCTCCGATCACCTTCTGCCGCGTGACACAGGACGGATGGATCTCGGTGGTGAACTTGAGCACGGCCTGGTTGGGGTCCTCGTACGTGTGGGGGTCCACGTATGTCTTCAGGGGCTTTAGTTGTTCTGGAGTGGGGAGGGGGTTGGGTCAGGGAGGGTCAGGGAGGGTACCTGGGAACAGTTGCCCTAAAGGAGGTGGCAGATGGCTACGTGAACCCGGGCCTCTGGGACATGGAGCTCCTGGCTCAGCCCTTTCGAGCTGCCCTGGGATGTCCTGGGAGTACCCTGGCTGCCCGCTGCCCCCAGCTCGGCTGGCCACAGAGCTAAGGAGGCCTGTGGGCACAGCGAGGAGGGCAGGGAGGGCACCATGTCTCACCTGACTTGGAGAAGTAGACGTCCTCCGAGGACTGGCGGGTCCGCAGGCTCTTCCTCCTGAGAACCCCACAGGAACCAAACAGGAAGGTCAGCGGCCTGCTCCAGCCAGGAGCCCCCTGACCCTGCTCCGGCCCTGCGTGGGGACTGAGTGTGCCCAGCACCCCCCTTAGCTGGCAGAGGGCGCAGGGAAGGCCGGGGCGGGGTGGACAGGAAGTGACTAACGGGCTCCCTCCTTGGGTCCTGTGCCCTGTCACGGCCAAAACGAGGGCTTTCCTCATTAGTGCTCCCCAGTGCTTCCTGCCTGCATGTCCAGAGGAAGCGTGGACACACGGTTCATAACAAGAGATAATGACAGCCATGTCCCGAGCCCCACGGCCTGCCAGGCCTGGGCTGAGCACCCTAGAGCTCACTGCATCTTCACCCCCACCCCCAGAGGCAGGGAGTAGATCTCTTTCAGTCCCTTTTCCAGACAGGGAGCTGAGGTTCCTGCCCCTCCGGGTCCCACCTAAGCCCCACGAACCTGCGGTAGATGTAGAAGCCGACTCCTCCCAACACCAGAAGCAGGGTAGCACCGATAGCCACTCCGCCGATCACGGCCACGTTGGCAGATCCTTCCGTGGCTGTCGGGGAGACCAACTGATGACAAGGGAGCCCTCCCACTCCACACCCCCTGTTGCACCCCAAGGCCCACTTTAGGGACCCAAGACACGTACTGGGTGTTTTTACTTGTGGCAGTTCATAAAGATCCCATTTCACGGATGGGCAATAAAGGGCCGTCCCCGGGAATACAGCTGGCACTCCCAGGTGCGTGGGGCTCTTTCCACTATGCGGGATTTGAACTGGGCCTGCCAATGCCAGAGCCCATGTCCTTCCTTTCACACCACTGCCCTGAACAAGCGTCCCTTGGTCCCCTCCCCCATCAGCCCACGCAGGTCGGTCCTAGAATCAGGCTGACCGGGAGAGCAGATTTCTAAAGTTTCAACCCATTTCCTCCTCTCAGGAAGTCCTAGCTGCTCCACTGCAGAACCCTGGCCTGGCTCACGCCCTGGCCCGTGCCCTGGCCCCTGACTCACACAGTGTCTGGAACTCGTGCACCTTGCTGCGGGCACCCTGGCCCTCCTGAGTCAGCGCTTGCACTTGGACCAGGTAGGTGGTGTCTGGAACCAGGTCATCCAGGGCCACGGAGAAACCCTCAGTGTAGCGCACGTTGTAGCTGTTGGTGTCCCCCTGGGTGGCCAGCAGGTGCAGAGGCAGACAGTGAGGACAGGGCGGGGCATCCGCTCAGCCCACCAGAGACCACCCCAGCTTAGCTCACTTATGTGTGCAAACTCAATGATCTCCCTATGGAGGGGGAAACTGAGGCTCAGAGAAGTCCAGTGGCTCAGTCAAGGTCACAGTCACCAAATGCCTGACCCAGAACTCAAACCCAGGTCTGCCTGATCCTCGAGACCTGGCTTTTCCCCCGCCCCCAACTGTTTCATCGGGGAATTCCAGAACACAGCGTCTTCTCTCCCACCAGTCTCCATTGTGCTGGCCTGGGAGAGGTGGCTCAGGAAGATCCCAGACCTCAGTTTCCCCATCTGCAGAATGGGGCTTCTTTAGGTCATGCACTGACTATCTATGTGACCAGCTGGGGTCCACCCTGACCCTCTGAGTTACCTTCTTGTGGTAGGTGACCTCGTACTTCCACACACGGCTCTGCTGAGGCAGGGGGATGCTCCAGGACACGCTCAGCGAGGTGGTGCCACGGCCCTCCAGCTTCACCTTGGGCGGCTCTGGACAGAACAACAGGTTGGGGAGGGGTGTGAGGAGCCACCCGGGGGGGGGAGTGATCCCAGACCCAGACCCATCCACAGTCCAGGTTCTTCAGACCCCCACCTGGGACTCTTAACTTCCAGTTCCATAGTACAGAGCCCCAGGCCTCAGCCCCTACATAGCTAGCAGGTCAGAAGCACTTATGATAAATAATAAAAACAAAGTGAGAGCCCACTCCTGCTATAGCTTTTCTATGGGCCAGGCGCTGTTCTGGGAGCCTTCTATAGAAGAATTTATTAAATCTTCTTACTAGCCCTGTTAGCCCATTTTACAGGGGAGGAGACTGAGGCTCAGAAAGGTTGGGTAACGTGCCCAGAGTCACAGAACTGGGGAGTGACTCCAGAGAATGCCTCTCTCTGAACACAGCTTAGCCCGGGGGGGTGGTCCTCTGGGATCCCCAGTTGGGTGACGGTCACCACCACTGCCAGGCCCTCACCTGTCTGGTTGATGCTGACGCTGGCAGTGAGGAAGCTGCGGCTGGCCACCAGGTGCGAGACGCCGTTGCGGGCCTCTACGGCGAAGGTGTAGTTCATGTGAGGCTCTAGGTCACTGACCACCACGCTGGTGCGGGTCAGCTTATGCGGTGACTCAGAGTAGCGCACGCTGGCCTCGCAGGGCCGGCAGTCGCCCAAGTCGGGCAGGCACTGTTCGCAGGTGACCTTGTAGGTGATGTCTTCACGGCCCCCGTTGTCCAGGGGGGGCTTCCAGCGCAGCTCCACTTTGGCGCCCATGCCCACGGCCGTGAGGTAGCTTGGGGCAGAGGGTGGGCCTGCACAGGGGCAGAGGGCAGAGCTCGAACCCAGGTGGCCCCAGACATGTCAACCGCCAGACCCCGCTCACCGCAGCCACCCTCCGACTCCGGGGACCCACCTGTGCAGGGCATCGACAGCGGGTCCTGGGGCGCCCGGAAGTAGCTCTCCTCACACTCGCAGTGGGTGGCCCCCTCGGGGGACGGCAGGGTGTGCACCGGGCACGCCAAGCAGGGGCTCTCGGACGCCTCAGATTTGAAGAATCCAGACGCACAGGCTGGCGGGCACAGGGACAGACACCGATCAGTTTAACCAGTTCCCACCGCAGCGACTTTTCCAGTCCCTGGCCGTGGGACCCCGGGCAAGTCACTGAACCGCCAAGGGCCTGTTTTCTCATTGCTAAAATGTGCTGTGATGAGAAAACACCCGGCAAGCACCTGCCCTGCACTGGACACTCAGGAAATGCTTCATCCGCCTGCTCCAAACCTGTGCATCACTCCCCGTGGCTCTTGCAAGAAGCGCCACGCCCGAGCCGGGCATTCAAGGCCCACGTCTCACTCTTCAGCTCCCTGAGAACCCGGCCCCACACCTGGCTCAGCCCTGGACACAGCACGCTGTCTCTCCCTCAACTGTGCCAACCAGCCTGGCGGCGCCCCACCTGGACTCCAGGCCGCCCGGGGCGATAACTGTGTCTTCCTCACTGTTTGGGTGTGAGGGTTTTGGTTGTTGTTGTTAATCCTTCCCCAAGGATACTTTTTCCATTGATTTTAGAGGGAGGGAGGGAGGGAGGGAAGAGACAGAGAGAGAAACATTGATGTGGGAGAGACACATCGATTAGTCACCTCCTGCACGTGCCCTGACAGGGGCTGGGGATCGAACCTGAGACCCTTCAGTGCGTGGGCCGATGCTCCAACCACTGAGCCACACAGGCCCGGGCTCACTGTTTGTTTTGGTGACCATCAGCACCACCTTGACTCATCAGCTAGCCGCACCAGCTCCGGATGCCACCCCTGCAGGTGCCCCCCCCAATCCCAGCTCTCAGACCCGACCGTCTTCCCAGTCTAGAGATGCCTGATCAGAAAGCAGGAAAGGCCAGGCCCCCCGCATTTGCTCTGGACCTGTTTCCAGGACCGAGTCATTTCCGCCACTCACAAAGGCAGCCAGGAAGCAGATCTTCCTCCCCGGGCCCTCAGGTCCTGTCCTGGCCGGGCCGGCCAGGGGCTCAGGCACCTGACTCCGGAGGCTTCTTCCTCCCACTGCCATAACCCTGCCCCTGCCCTACGCCCCTTCCTGGCTCACAGGCAGGAAGCTGCCCAGACACAGGCCCACCGTGCAGGGCTGCCCAGGGCTTGAAGTGGCCAGAGTGGAGTGGGGTCACCTTAGGGACACCTTCCAGAGCCTTACAATCACCAGTACCCTCCTTCAGCTTAACCTGGGAAGGGGGTCCCAAGACACTTCCAACCTCAGTGCTACGCTCACCCAACACCGGCTGACCCAGGGCTCTGTGCTCGGCCCCATGCTGGGCAGGGACCCTGAGGGGAGACAAAGCCCCTGGACTCAGGGAGCAGGAGCATGTGACCATGTCTACCACAAAGGAGTGGGCAAAGGGCTAAGGGGCGGAAACAGCCTTGGCCAGAGGTCTTGAGGAGATATTTCAGCTGGGGCTTGGCGGTTGAGTAGGAGTTCAGCAGGGTAGAAATATTGGGAAGAGGTAGGGGTGAGAAACAGCAAGACTAAGGGAAGTATGAGTGGCTTTGTGGACACAAAAGTCGGGGGAACAGCAGGCAGGAAAGGCTGAGCCGTCTCCAGGAACCAGAATGAGACGAGCCTTCAATGCCAGGCCGACAGCCACTGAAGGTTTCATGTAGAAAACAGTGGCACAGCCAGAGCCACACTGTTAAGAAAAACCTTGGAGAAAGCCTACCTCCTGTCCAGTCCCTTATGCGAGCAGAGGGGGGGAGTGGGGCTGGGAGTTGGGACAGGACTCAAGAGCTTGGGCATGTGCTGTAGGAAAGGGGGCTTGTCCAGGACAGAGGGGGTCTGGGACCCGACCCCTGCCCTGTGCAGAGCCTGGAGCCCCCATAACAAACACTGACCGCTGATTAAACAGCTGTGTGCAGCCCTGGCCGGTGTTGCTCAGTGGTTAGAGCGTCGGCCTGCGTACCGAAGGGTCGCGGGTTCCATGCCGGTCAAGGGCATGTACCTGGGTTGTAGGTTGGAGCCCCGGCCAGGTCAGGGCACGTGCAGGAGGCAACCAAATGGTGTGTCCTCTCACATCAATGTTTCTCTCTCTCCGCCTCCCACCCTCCCTTCCACTCTTTCTAAAAATCTATGGAACAAATATCCTCGGATCAGGATTAACAACAGCAGCAGCAACAATAAAACAACCACTGTGCGCAGCCCCCGGGCCAGGTGCCTGCCCTTCGTTGACTCCCCACAATAAGCCTGCGGCACTTGGGCCCTGTCACATCCACTCCTCTTTGGAGGAGGGGAATCGGATGTCCAGAGAGGCAGAAGAACCCGTCCCAGGCCAGCGGGCTCCTAGGGCACAAAACCAAAACCTAAACCCAGGACTCTTGACTCCGAGCCCCTCTCCGTTCCCACGAGCCCCTCGATTCAGAGCAACGAGGCCTTGGTGTTCGGGAACAAGCCCCGAGAGAGAGGGGATGGTGCCCGACCTGCTTCAACACCCAGAAAACCCCAAGACTGATCTCAGTGCAGCTGGGAAACGGGGTGGGGCGGGGGGCTCCTCACACAGGGCACATTCTTGTTTTCGGGAACAAGAAAAGGGTGGAGTCAAACCCAGGGAGGTTGCTCGGGTGGCCAGAGTGGCCTCCTTCAAGTCCCAGAGGCCCTTCAAGTCTCCTGTTGTATTTATCGTATTATGTGTTCATCCTCACATCTCTTATAAAAACAGCCCTCTCCTCTCCCAAATCTTCCAGCAACGACGAAACTCCAGAAAGCCGGGCATGTGAAGCCTGGGACTTCGGTTCCCCGGATGTTCGGGCTGGTCGGCAGGGGCCCACCGCCGGGCGCCTGCGGCCGCAGAAGGCCCAGCGCCGGCAGGGGGGCTGCCCGAGGGCCTCCGAGTCCCAGCTGCACCTTTCCAGTCCCGCTCTCGGGCTGGGGAGGGGACTGTGGGCCCTCCCACTCAGGCTCGGTTCTGCTAAAGGCTTTAGCCACCTGCAAGCCCCCACAATCCCCACGCCACAACCACGTGGCTGCTCCCCAGCCCTATGCCAAGAGGAGGAAGCAGGGGGAAGAGTCGGGTTCCATTCTCTGGCCCTAGAGCCTGGGGGTGGCCCGCCCGCTGCCGGCAGGAAAGAGGGAATTTGGAGAGATTTCCGCTGCGGATGTGCCAGATAACACAGCGGAGGGGCAGCAGCAACAGGGCATGTGCTTGCCTGATGAGGGGGTGCTGCCCCTCCTCCAGCCACAGCGCTCTCAGGGGCTGTCCCCGGGGCCACGCCGGAGCATGCCAGGGCTCAGGGGCCTCGGAGTTCATGTGCAGGACACAAGCAAGCTCCCGGATCTTCCTGACTTTGCCTGATTGGGCTTCCTGGTGCTCTGGGCAGGGGCAGGTGGGGACAGGGGTCACACTGGTGTTCACACACGCTCAGACAGTCACCTACACACAATACTCACTGTGCCCTAGCCAACCAGCACACTCTTATGCATCCTTCAGTACCCGGCTTGGGTAGCACAGGGCTCCTCTACACAGCCCTCCCAGGCTGCCCAGTTCTGGCTCCCTCCTGCCCCATCAGGGCACCTGTTACTCAATGTTATATTTACCAAATAGAGATCGAGCACTTCCTACGTGTCTGGCACAACGCTGGGTGCTGGGATACAAAGGCGAGGTAGATAAACACCGTTTCTGCTCCAGGGGAATTCAGAGCCTGGCTTTAGTGCTCCCTCTGAAATGATTCCAGCACATATCTGAAGCCTCTAGGAGACTGGCAGCTCTTGGAGAGCATGAATGGGTCCGATTTATTTGTGTCCAATGGCCCAGCACAGGGTCTGGTGTGCAGTAGGGGCTCAGCTAACATTTGTGGACTGGACGGATGGCTGGATGAATGAATGAATGGTAAGACCTATGAAGTGCACATTAAACACGCACTCTAGGCCCAGAGAAGTGAGCAGTGTTTTGGTGCCCGGGGAGACCCTGTGGGGATGGCACACAGGGGCATCTGCCTGCCTGGCACACACCTGGCTCTGGCACACCTGTGAAGATCTTCTCTGGCCCCAGTCACCTGGCAGGCCTGGACCACTTTGAGCAGGGGAACTGGGGCACAGTAGCTGCACCCTGGGCTGTACCCCGGTTTTTCCAGTTCCCCGTGCCCTCCCCTCAGGTGGCAGCGTGGGGTGACTCAGGGACAGACGCCCTCTGGCGTGACGCAAATCCAGCCCCTGGCAGAGCTCTTGCTCCCCAGGCCCAATCACCTCTCACGCCAGTGGTGGGGAGGTCATAGGGCCAGGAGGTCACGGTAGCAATTCACCTGGGGCCAGTCACCTCCCCAAGCTGTGCCCAGCCGGTGTGCACCACCTCAGCCCAAGCTTGCAGAGTGTGGACTTTGTCTCGTGCCCTGACAGGCAGCCAGCGGCAACCCAGAAGTTACTGACCCAGCAAATGAAGGGAACTGATAACTCCGGGCCCTGGGGGCTTTTTACTCCCAGCATGCCCTGTTGTCCTCACAGAAGCAGGTGTCCCCATGGCCCCACTGCTGCGAGCACCTTGCCCCTTTCACACACACACGCCCTGGGGAGTTATCTTGGGGTGCATTCCTCCACCAGGCCTTGATAAGCAGGCTCCCCTCACCCCGTCTCCCAGTTTCCTGCTCTCTCCCTCCTGCCGGACTTTTATCTTCTATTTGCTTTCCCTCACCTCCTTCCTTCCGTTCTGGGGACTCACTCACCTCCGGTGAGGGAGGGGCCTCCCCAAGGAGCTGCCAGCACGTGGATCTGCCCCCAGTGTGAGCGGAGGGAGGGGGGGGGACAAGGCATGGGGGGGCTGCCACCCACGGTCCCACTCCGGCAGGCCAGGTAACTCCACAGAACTGAGGCCCGATGGCGCACCCCAGGGAGGGAACAAGCCAAAGAACTGAGAGCACACAGAGCCCCCAGCCACGTCCTGAGAAAGCAGGGACCCTGCCAACAGCCCCTGCCCTGGCCCAAGGCCACCCTGCCTATGATCCTTCTTAACCAGAGTCATCTCCTGCCCGGGGGATGCCTCCCCTTCAGCTATGGACCCTCGTCTAGGCTTGGGCCACTCTGGTGGCCAGCGCTAGGACCCGGCTCCTTGCCACATGGGGAGGTCACGGGGTCAGCAGTCTGGCAGAGAACCCAGTTCTCAGACTGAGCCACAGCGGAAGTCACAGGAGATAGACTCGGATCACTGAGGCCCAGAGGGGACTCAGCAAGTTCACCCAGCTGCAGGTAGAAGGACACACGCCAGGGGCAAGTAGGGACAGTGTACTGCCCTCCTTATTCCAGGCCCCAGCTCTTTCCGTCACTGTTTCCATTCTCTGGGCCTCAGTGTCCTCATCTGTAAAGTGGGAATAAAGTCCTCAGCCCCTCTGGGTGCTTGTGAAACGCCTAGCATGGTGCCTGGGGTGGGGTGTCCCTATGAACCAGGAACAGAGAAACTAAAGTAGAGGGGACATTCCCTTGGAGCCAGGCCCCGTAAGGGCACAGGAGTCCTCAAGGAGGGAATCCCCAAGCCCCCACCCCCACCCCCAGCTCTGGCCTCCCAGCCNNAGCTCTGGCCTCCCAGCCGCTGGGCCGAGCCTCTGGCCAAAGCCGCTGGCCACCTGCTCACCTGGCTGGCAGTCCCCGTGGCCGAGGCGCCAGCCGGGGGGCCGCCAGCACAGTGGCCAATGTCAGCACAGGAAGTGGAGCCGAACAGGGAGACGGAGCTGCCCCGGGGGAGATGACGGTCAGCCTGAGTGACTCCACTGTCCTCCAGGCCGGAGGGGGGATGGGGCGGGGGTGCTGGAGGGAAGCTGGCTCATTCCTGACATAGCTCCGGAGAGCTCTCCGGGCAGTGTGCCCACCTGCCCAACACAACACCTGGGAGGTGCCTCCCTTCCGTTGTCCATTTAACTCTTTCCTGAGCTCTGAGCTTCCTGGGGAAAGAACCTTGAGGAGAAATAAACTCTGGGAATAACCCAGACCAGGTGCTGGGTGACCTCAGGGTACCCAAGTCCGTGCTCCGGGCACAGCGTGTCATCAAGAGAAGCCCCAAAGGGAGAATCCAGGTCTACGGCCCTGTGGAGGGTCAGGCGGGGGGGCGGATCCTGCACTGCCCTCAATTTCTCCCTCAAAACACGCTCAGTAACCGCCCCCCATTCACCTCACCTCCTGCTCTAGGACCTGCCATCCTGGGGCTGCCCTGAGAGCTGTTCCCAAGGCCAAGAGCTGAGTCAGGGATTCCAAAGAAACAGGTCATTTCCCGCCCCACTTCCTGACCCATCCTCTAGCCTGGACGCCGCTGTGTCGTTCGGATTCAAGTCCTGATGCAGCCACATCTTAGCTGTGTGACTCCAAGCAAGTGTCTGAGCCTCTCTGAGCTTCAGATTCCAGAAAAGTGGTGCAAAGTCAGCAAGAGCGTGCAGATGAAGGGCCTGCCGAGCTTGTGCCCGCCCTTGGAGAGCCCTCGTCTGTGGAAGCTGTCAGCGCCGTGACCAGGGGCTGCTGGGGAAGGTCTGCAGGGAGACACAGAAGCCAGTGGGAAGTTCCCAGCCATGCAGAGGACCCCCGAAGCCCACTGGAGGGAATCTGGGTAGAGGGATCCCGAGCAAAGAGACGCAGGGCAGCAGGTGGCTGGCCGTTGAGAGGGTCCCAGCAGCGAAGTCAAGTCAAAGATTTCGCTGTTGGATATCCATCCTCCCTACCCCGGGGCATGCTAGCTTTTCCCAAACAAAGCCTGCCAGATGCCTGACCCCCCACCTCCCACCCCTGGGGGAGGGAAGGCTGACCCCCTTGCTGGAGAGACACCCCCCAGCCCCAACCGTCCACTTATCTCTACAGGGCCTGAATTACCAGCCTGTGGAAAGTTTTCAGCTGCCCCTCACCCCCACCCCCGCATTCTTGTGTGAGGATGTCATGTGGGAGGAGTCGCTCAACCCACTGGGCTGCCTTGCCCCCCCCACCCCCTAGTCATTGTCTGAAACTGGGAGGGTACCCTTGAGGTCACCTAAATCGGGGGGCTGCCGAGGGGAGCCGGGGAGGAGAGTGGGGTGTCAGGGACGGCCGGGACAGAGACCACACCACAGGGGTATGCCCGTAAAGGCTCTTAGGGAACTTCTCATCTCGGGGTTTGCAGGCTGTGTTAAGCGAGGTTCTGAGGTTTGTTTTAGGAGGCAAGCGGGGCCTATCAGAAAGGGCTTCGGGCTCCTCCAACACTTGAACCCGCTTTGCAGGTTGTAGGATCCGTGGCTAAAAACCAAGTACAGAGTCAGCTGTTACACTTGAAATTCACTTTTTTTTTTTTTGGTCAATCCTCACCTGAGGATATTTTTCCCATTGCTTTTCAGAGAGAGTGGAAGGGAGAGACAGAGAGAGAAACACCCATGTGAGAGAGACACATCGATGGGTTGCCTGCCGCATGCGCCCCACCTGGGGCCACCGATCGAGCCTGCAACCGAGGTACACGCCCCTGGCCACATTCGAACCTGGGACCCTTCCGTGCGAGGACTGACACTCTAACCGCCGAGCCAAACAGGCCAGGGCTAAACTTCGCATTTTACTGACAGGAAACCTGAGGCCAGAGATGGAGCGAGATTTACTCAAGGTCACCCAGCGGGTATGGCCAACCGCGGGGACTAACTCCCCAATTTCTCCACACCCTGCTTATCTCAGCGAAGAACCTCCCGGAGAGAGGGGATGAGCTGGCCTTCCAAAGGCCGGCCTGCATTCCACAAGTGCCCTGCCCTGCAGCCGCTTCCAGAAAAAAACCACCCATTGAAAAAAACCCCAAGTTGGTAGAGATTTCCGCTGTCACAGGCCCTGGCGGGGCCAAGCCACAGCCTCCCGACGCGCGCTCACTGATGCCCCGGCCCCGTTCCCACAGAGTCTGATTTAATTGGCCGCCTCTCTGGGTTTGATGTGTCATCAGTAGAAGCCCCTATGAGAGAACCTGGGTCTCTGGCCCTGGGGAGGGTCAGGCGGGAGGTGGTGGTGAGGGGGGGCAGGTCCTAGATCTCCCTTCTACCTTTCCCCCAACACAGGCACTTTTCTTTTAAAAAAATTTTCTTTTTTTTAATCCTTACCAGAGAATATTTTTTTCATTGCTTTTCAGAGAGTGGAAGGGAGAGAGAGGGAGAGAGAAACGTTGATGCGAGAGAGGCCCATCGGTTGGTTGCCTTCTGCAGGTGCCCTGACGAGGGCAGGGATCCAGCCTGCACTTGAGGTACATGCCCTTAACTGAAATCAAACCCAAGACCCTTCAGTCGCGGGGGCGGACACTCTAACCACTGAGCCAAACCAGCTTGGGCACCAACACAGGCATTTTTCAAAAGCTCCCCAGATAATTCTTCTGTGGAGCCAGGGGATGTGAATCCTGGGTCCAATTCACTGACCTCCATGTACAGAAAAGCTGCTCAAGACCCAGAGAAGTTAAGCGATTTGCCTCAGGTCACACAGTGAGTTAATAGAGAGGGAACTAAGCTCCTGGGACCGGACCAGGTGTCCACAGGGCTGGTATATATGTATAGATTCTCAAGATGTTCTTGTGGGATGAATATAAAATAACAACCGCACTTAAAAACACTTATGTGTCAGACACTGACCTAATCACTTTATGAGCACTGAGTCATTTAATTATCATAACAACTCTACACCATGGGCACTGTGTTCATCTCCACTTTACAGATGAGAAAGCTCAGGTACAGAGAGATTAAGGAACTGGCTTAAAGTCACACAGCTAAATGTAGAGCTGGGATTTGAAGCCAGGCAATCTTGTCCTAGAGTCCTATTTTATTTTTTTTAATCCTCACTTGAGGATATTTTTTTCCATTGCTTTTCAGAGTCCTGCACATGGGATAGAACCTACAACTCAGGTATGTGCCCTTGGCCGGAATTGAACCCAGGATGCTTCAGTCCATGGGCCGACGCTCTAACCACTGAGCCACACTGGCCCGGGCCTTGTCCTAGAGTCCTTACTCGTAACTTCCACACTAGACTCAAAGGAGCGACTGCCCGTCAGAGTGGAGATGACCTTACCGGGGTCCCACAGGCCCAGATCCGAGAGCGGGGCCCGGGCACACAGCCTCCACCCCAGCACCCCCTTTCCCTGCCACCCTGCACCGTCACTCACCCTGGCAGGTGTCCTCCGCCTTCTCGTAGCCCGCCTGGCACAGGCACTGCCCGATGGGCACCAGCCACTCGCCGTCGACCGCGCAGTGCATGCGGGGCTCTTCGCCCCCGGGGGGGACCACAGCGTGGTCCACGCAGGTGCCGGCCACGGTGGCCAGGGAAGGTGCATCCGAGCCGGCGACGGTCTCAGGGAAGCGGGCCAGGCCCTGCTGCAGCTCGGGGCACTTCTTGAAGTAGACGCGGACGGAGAGCAGGGCCACGCAGGCGCCAATGTCCTGGAAGGCCAGGTAGAAGCCCTTGCGGGTGAGCGGCCCCACGGAGAGCTCCTCCACGTTCAGCTTCACCTGGCGGGCCTCGAAGTCGCTGCTGACCGTGATCTCATCGGGCGCGATGGTGTCGATCTTGCGGAACTGGCGCTTCTGGAAGTTGGTGCCGTAGTCCACGTCGGACTCGGCGTAGTAGACGTTGAAGGTCTCCTTGCAGGAGCTGGCGCCCCCCGGGAAGCTGTTGCAGTCCCGCACGGTGAACTTGAGCTCGATGAAGATGCGCTCGGCCTCGCCACGGTACACCCAGTTGGTGCGGAGCCAGTTGTCCTGGTCGCTCGCCACCACGTTGCACACGGAGTACATGTAGGTGGGCGTGTCGTTCATGATGGCCTGCATCAGGTCCCACTGTGAGGGGGACAGATTAGTGTGGGTGGGCTCCCGGGGGGGAAACGGAGGCCCGGGGGACAGAGCTGGGCGTCAGAAGGACGCTTTTCGGTTCCTTCTGTCCCCATTCTACAGGGAATGAAACTGAGGCCCAGAGAGGTGCTTCGTGTGACCCACACACTAGAAGCACTGAGCCAGGAACCGTCCCCCCACTGTTTCTGATCCCGGTGTCAGGGTGCCAAACCTCTATGTTAGACTTGGGAGCCAGGGTGGAGAATGGGGCTCCGTGTGACCTGGGGTGGAGCCCTCAAGCTCTCCGAGCCTCAAAGTCTCCATCTGTGTACTGGGATGGATAAGACCATTCTCTTCCTTCCTCAGAACACAGCCCGGCTTCCTCCAGGAAGACCTCCCAGGTTGGGCCAAGGGAGCCTCTCTGGCTCCCAGTCTCACGCCCCCTTTGTCACTGTACTTGGCACCTTAAGCGGTAACGCCTACATCTGGCTCCCGCGCTAGATTCTGAGTTCCTTGGGGTAGGGACTGCATCTAATTCATTTCTGTACGCACAGGGCCTACCTGGGACAGAGGAGATACTCAGGAAAGTGTCTGATGAATGAACAAGTGAGTGAATGAGTGAAAGCAGATGAGCGGAGGCAAGAGGCCTGGGCCGCACTATGTGACAAAAGCCAAGGTCTCGAATGCCCTTGGGCCTCAGTTTCCTGCTCTGTCTAATGAAGGGGTTACAAGGAGTGATCTGAGATCCCTCCCGGCTGGACATTCCAGGATCCTGGAAACCTGCTAGAGCTACACCCCAGGCCTCCTTGGAGCTAAGGTGACCAGGGATAAGCACCTAACTCACAGAGATCTCTGCCCAGCCGTGGGAACTGTCCCAACTAGCCCCCTGGAGACACACTTCTCCCTGGCTCATGGCCCCAGGGCAAACTCAGCAAGGGCCCATTGTACAGAGGGGCAAACTGAGGCCCAGAGAGCAGCACTATCTTCCCCAAGACCACATGGTAGTGATGCACAAAGCCGGAGAAAGGGCCCCAGAATCTTGCCCTCGGGTCCCAGTCCTAACAGCCCAGGGCAGAGGGGAGAAAACTTGGATGGGGGGGAGACAAAACAAACTCAGCCCTGAGCAGGAAGGGGAAGCAACAGCTGGGGGAGCAGAGAGAGGGGCCCAGCAGGAAAGAACCTGATCTTTTTCCTGGGCTGGGGGGGGGCGGGCACCGGGGAGCCACTGTTCCCTGTCCCTCCCTCACCCCTCACCTCCTGAACTGGGACCTGGAAGATAGGGGGAGCCTTTAACCCCCTCCCTCCCGAGATGGGCCCCTGACCATCAGCCCTCGGGTGGCATCCAAGCCCAGGGTGGCTGCCACCACCCCTCCCAGCCCCAGGCTAAAGGGAACTCCTCAGGGCCCCTGCCAGGGCCTTCAGCTGTCTCCCAGCTCTTTGCACCTCCCAGGCCCCTTCCCTGTCCCTTTCGAATCCCCAGCCCACCCGGAAGGCTGGCTCTGGGCCTGGCGTGAGAAGCAGGACACGAAGTATGAACCCCGGCTGAGCGGCTGGATCCAGACTGGCCTCACCCCTGCGGGTCTCAGCGTCCCCACGCCCCCGCCCCCGCCGATCCCGAAGGCTTACCCCTTTGCCATACGGGTGCGTGAGCCAGCCAAGTTCCCCGTTAGCTGCGGCAAAGTCCAATAACACTTCTGGAAGAGACGGGAGAGGAGGCCGGTGAGCTCGGGGGCATCTCCAGGGGTCAGGCCACGGCGGGAAAGGGGAGCGTCCTCCAGGAGCCCCAAGAGTCCTTGTCGGCCTCCTCCGCCCTCAGAGAGAGACCCCGCTGTACAGGGCCACCATATCCAAGGGACTCAGCCCTCAACAAAGAGGGAAACAGAGGCCAGGGAAGGGATGGGACCCAGTCAAAGCCACACGGCAGGTTGGGCAAGGACCAGGACTCCTGTCCCCTTGGCCACAGATCCAGTCATGCCACCCTCTCAGTCACCCTCCAGCTGGGCAGAGCAGGACAGAGCTCAGCCCAGCGGGGGGACAGCAGCCGGGCAGGGAGCTGGGGCTGTTATGCGACACCAGGCTGCCCTGTCTGCTTCCTGGAACAAGGCCTCTGGGAGCACCTCACAAGCATGTGGGGACCCTCCTGTCTACTCCCCCATCCCCCCGCCTGGGGCATAAAACATCCTCAACCCCACCCAGCCACATAGCACACACATATGCTCACACACATGTACACATGTGTCTTGTGGCACTCCAAGGAGAGAGGGCTGCTAACAGGTGGGACCGGCTCTGGGGAGTGGAGGGGGCACCGGTGTGGAGGGGGGGGTCTGGAAACCAATCTTCCTGCCACAAAAGCCACAGAGCAGGCGGAATAAAGCCTCGAACCCACAGGGGCCTCTCGGAGGGGCCCAAAGATACACACAGCTGGTGAGGTCCCCTCCTTGGGAAAGTCACTCCCGCTGGCCTGTCCCTCAGCCCCTGGCCACTGTCCTGCCAGAGGCACCTGTGGGACTAAGGATGGAAACCATTAGAAGGGACTTCCAGGCCCAGAGGGACCGGGTTCCAGGGCCATGTTGTCCCCAGCGAGGCACATGGAGCTCAAGGGAGGGACTCTCTGCTGGGGTTTCCCTAGATCTAGCCCTGACCGGCAGCTCCCACCTGTCCCCCCTGGCTCTCCGCCGGGCTCAATGGCGGTAGCCAAGACCCAAGACCTTGAGTACTGCTCTTCCTCCATCTCCAAGGAAAGTCCAGGTAGCTGCCAACAGGCGCCACCCACCCTGGAGGGCAAGGAGATTGGGGAAACTGAGGCATGGGACCTAAGCAAGGTCCACAAATTCAGAGGGTAAAGCTCTAAGGTGGAGAGGGTAAGGGACCAAGTACCCCCTTCCTTTGAGCCCTGGAGCATGAGGACTGCAACCTCAAGCAGCAGCATTCTGCCCGGCCGGCGTGGCTCAGCGATCGAGTGTCAACCCGTGGACCTCTTGGTTCGATTCCCGGTCAGGGCACATGTCCAGGTCACGGGCTCCACCCCCAGTAGGGGGTGTGCAGGAGGCAGCCGATCAACGACTCTCTCATCAATGTTTCTATCTCTCTGTCTCCCTTCCTCTCTATCTAAAAAATTAAAAAAATATATATATATTTTAAAGAAAGCAGCATTCCTCGCAGCCAGGACCTGGGAGGAGTCTAGGGTGGAACTCCAGGCAGGCAGGGAGAACAGAGGGACCTGATTTAGAGATGGGGACTGGGGGTGGGTCAAGTGAAGGACCTGGGAAGAGTCTAGACCTACGTCTTAGGTGTGAGGCACTGACTTCTGACCGCTGACCAGGACCAAAACTCTCTAGGAAGGGCCCGGCAGCCCAGACCGGGGAGAGGAAATACGAGGTGGCACCTGCCCCAGGACCCTAAGGAGAGGGGAGGGGGCCAGAGGGTGGATGGGGCAGGGATTTGTTCAGACATGCCCAGGGCCCAGGCTTGGAAAATTCACTAACTCCTCTAGCAAATGGAATGTTCCGGTTACACAGGAAGAAATCTGGAGGTTCCTGGCTCCAGCTGGGGTGGTAGTGGTGGTGTGTGTGTGGGGGGGGAACGACACACAACAATGGGGCGTGCTCCTCTCAGCCCTGCAACACTCGGCCCCCCAGCTAGGAAGGAAGCGTAGTCCATGCCCAAGGGAGGGCGCTCATGACTCCAAGGCTCTGAGGGGTTCATCTGACACAGAGGGAAACCCCCACCCCTGCCAGAGCGCTGCTCCCCTTCCAGCCCGCAGGCCTGGCTCTGGAGCTATCACAGGGCTCGATCTGAGAAGAAAAAAGCCTTCACACAGGAAGGAGCCCCCTCCCGGGAAATTCCCTCGAACCGATCACAAGGAACAGGAGCCCAGCCCTGGCTGTCCCTCCACCCTGACCCGATGGGCTCTCTCCTCAGCTCTTCCAGGGACTGAGGCACCTGCTTCCCCGGAAAGGGTGGGGGCCTGGGAGCCCCTCAGCCAGGAGCCCACCGGCCCTCACTCCACCCCCAGCAAAGCCTCCTCTCAGCCTTAAGTTCCATCCATCATCAGCGTCACCCTTGCGGGTCCAAAGGCAACACTACCTCCCACTCCCCCAGTGCCACCTCCCTGTTCCCCTGTCCCTCTCTAACCAAGACTGGGTAAAGGGGAGGCAAGAGACCCTGGGGGGG